TATATATATGGCATTTCAGCCTCCAGATATCTGTTATGCAGAATAAATTATCACTAGTAAAGAGATTAGGTAGAAATCCAATTAATAGGATTACTGCCCTCACTCTTAAATGTTAAATATATTTGGGAATTTTTTGAGGCATAAGTTATCAACTCGACGTTTGTTGCAAAGTAAACTAAGTGTGCCATATCACCAGTTAGATTAAGGGATAGAACATCAATTAGAATTTAAACATAATGTCTAATATCAGGAAAATTTGAATCTTCCCTATTTAAGGTTTTAAAAATTCTCATCTGTGTACATATTATTCAGTTGATAGCAATCTTAATCTTTACTGTTTTTTCATTTTTACCCTTGCATAGCTTTCAGACCTCTCCTGCTTGTATCACTTAAGGTTTTGTTTGGGCCTTTGATTGTTTCACTAACAGAACGAAACGTGGACTGCTATTCATCAAACTCACTGTGTCTATGGATTCACTACCTCTGTGTGTGTATTCTGGGATCTAGGGTGTCCCATTATCACAGTATGGCAGCTGCTCAGTCAACTAGCAGTACTCTAGAAACCAGAGGGAGGGGGCGGAGCTTTTGAAGACAGCCCTGCTAGAAACTGCAGGGTGTATTACTTGGGTTAACCGCTCCTGAATTAGGCAAATGTATAAGCTATAATGCCTGCAATTGTGCTTTTCACAGAGCCAAGTAAAATGTTGTTGATCAATAAATAATGTGGTGCTTATGTTAGAATTGTTTATATTGGCAGATGCCCTGAAAGATTCAAAGGCTCTCTGTAAATGAAGAATACTCTCATTGTTTATTCAATTCGTGCTTTTCTACTTACTGTGAGAGTGTCTTGGAAATTTTCTTGAATATGAAATCACAGATAAAATCTAGGCAGTCCCCATCCCAGATTTAAATAGGTTATTTACTTATGTGACTTGTTCTCAGATGATTCGTGTGTGTCTGTATGTAGGCAAAAAGGGGTGACTAGAAAGGTAAAGCCCAGAGGTTTACTATCTAATTGTATCAGTCACAGATAGTGTACATCAATTCAGGTAACATTTCTGGATGATGGACCATTCGTCTAGCACAAGCTAGCCGCTATGAATTCAAATAGAAATATATCCAAAGTGAGAGCAGCAGGCATCATATCAGGCGTCAGCCAGGAAAGGCTGATGAAGGAGGTGAGTTTTGATAGTTGGTAGAGGATCACCAGGCTGGTAGGAGGAAGAAGAGCAAATAATATTTTGGCAGTGGAACAATGTGTTTGGCAAGGGAAATGGTATGTTAGTGGGTTTGTGGTGTGACCAGCAGTAGATGTTCTTGGAACTGTAAGTTGTTCAGTGATGGTGCAGCAATCAAGCATGATGGATGGCCATGGGAAATAGGAATGCAGGGACTGAGTGATTAATATCCTGGGCTTGACTCTCAAAACAGGAATAAATTCATGTAGGATATGTAGCCTTGGCCAAAGGGAGCATTGAAGCCACGTGGTGGACTTGTCATAGTTGCATTGTTTTCTGTTTACTCTCAGATGTTCACAGTGTCCAGGAATCAGGAGGATCTTGGCAAAGACTTCATCATTTGATTGAAAGATGGAAGCTGCTTTAAAGTGGGAAGGATATTAAAGAAGGGCCTAATTTTATTTATTTATTTTTAATTTTTTTTTTTTGTGATTTGGGTTAAAGTTTACAGAGCAAATTCATTTTCTTTACAGCAGTTCATACACATTTTGTTTAATGACATTGACTGCAGTTCCCCATGATGTAACCGCTCTCTTCCAACGTCCTCCCTGTAGTTCTTTCTTCCTTTCTGTGTCCTCCTTTCCTGTACACTCCTACCCCCTGAGTTATTTCCTTGTGCAAATATTGCCCTTCTGTTTTCTCTGAGTGATTGTTCTGAGTGTATCTGCCTAATGTAAATGTTCATCTTATATGCCTGTCTTTTGCTTGGCTGGAAGTCACAGGAGTGAGTTCAGTTCCAGATCTGAGGGTAACTAGAGGCCATAGTCTCAGGGCTCTTACCGGGCTCTGTCAGACCATTAAGCCTGTTTTTTTGTTTTTTTTTTTATGATTTTGACTTTTATTCCACATTATTCTCCCATTCTATCTAAGATCTCCTGTACTGATCCCTTTCTGAGTGGTTGACAGTGGTAGCCAGGCACCATCTAGTTCTTCTGGTCTCTGGGTCCTATAAGCTGAGGTTCACATGGTGCACTAGTCCCTTGGACTAATTGTTTCCATTTGTCTTTGCTTTTCTTCATTCCTCTTTGCTGTGGGTGAGGAGAGACCATTGTTGCATCTAGATGGCTTCTTGAAAGCTTTTAAGACCCCAGTCACTACTCAGCAAAGTAGGATGTAGAACAATGCTTTTGTGTAATATGTTATGCCAATTGGGCTTGATGGCCCCTGTGACTATGCTCCTGAGCCCACAGGTCCAACTACTCACTTCCTCAGTGTGGTTGGCTGTGGCTAAGAAGTTATCATAACTTTGCCCCTTGTTAGCTCTATTATGTATATGCACATTCTTACAGCACATACAGATATGTATGTAGAAATAGCATCTGCCAACCTTATGTATTACTTTTTGCATAGACATAACCTGATCATTTAGCTTGTATATCAATCTGTTTTCCCATAGATGAATGTTTGTTATCACTGACAACATAGTAGTGTGTATGTAAAAGGATTTATCTTTGTTGTCTGTATCTCTTATGCACCTTTCTGTGTCTTCCTTTTCCTTAGTGTTATTGTGTTGGTCACTTGCTTTTGGTACATTGCATTTCCCTTCACTCAAATCAATACTTGTCTCTACCTATCTACCAGTGTTCCCTTCCATATATAAACCTTGCCTTGACTTTTTACAATAGGGAACTAATAACAGTATTTGTCCTTTTGTAATTGACTTATTTCACTCAGCATAATGCCCTCCAAGTTCATCCACATTATGCAGTGTTTCACAGATTCTACATTATTCTTCAGTGTTGTATAATATTCTGTTATGTTTATATATCATAGTTTGGTTATCCATTCCTGTGTTGACAGGCACTTAGGCTGTTTCTATCTGTTTGGCATTGTGAATAGTGGTTTGATGAACATGGGTGTATATATATCTGTTCGTGTCCTGGCTCTCACTTCTTTAGGATATATACCTAGTAACAGTATTGCTGGGTCAAATGGTATTTCTAATTCTAACTTCTTAAGGAATCACAGTATTGAATTCCACAGTGAATGTATCATTTTACAGTCCCACCAGCAGTATATGAGAGTCCCAATCTCTCCACATCCTATCCAACATTTGTTATTTTCTGTGTTGTTGAACTTTGTTATTAGTGCTGGAGTGAAATCATATCTCCTTGTCATTTTGATTTGCATTTCTCTAATGGCTAATGATCGCAAACATTTCTTCATGTGTTTGTTGGTCACCTGAATATCTTCTTCCATGAAGTGTCTATTCATGAGAGAGGCCTAATTTTAGAAGTGGTTATTCTATTAGTAGCATTTTCATGTTGTGATTGTTGAGTGCCGTTGACTTGATTTGGACTCTTAGAGATCACTGTGACAGAGTAGACCTGCCCCAGAGGGTTTTCTTGGGTCTAATCTTCACAGAAGTGGGTCACCAGGCCTTTCTTCCATACAGTTATGGGGTATGTTTGAACCACCTTATGGGTAACAGCCAAGTGCTTAACCGCTGTGCCACTGGGGTTTCTTATTTTCATGTTAAGATGGTGTAACTCTTGAGTCTGTGATCATGAATGGTCCCTGCATATATGGAAAGTGAAGGAGGAATTTTGAATATACCCCTAGGTTTCTGACTTGGGTGACAATGAAGGTGAAAAAACTCAGGAGGAAACATTTCTGTCCAGCGTGTCATTGTTTCTCCAGTGCTAACAAATGTTGTTGACTATACATTAGGTGTTAAAGAAATGGTAGTTGAATGAATATTGCATAAGATACAGCTATTTTAATGTACAATATTTTAAAATTACTTTTCATGTGGCTCCTTGGCATCATTGACTTCTGTTTCACCAAACCCAATGTTTATTATAATAATTGACTGAGAAATTAAAACTTCTTCCAATATGAAATAAAAGCTTGAGTGTAACTAATTTATACTTGATCAATTTAAGTTGAGTCGGGGCTCACTCGACGGCACATAACAGCAACAACAACAATTTAAGTTATAGACCATTGAAGTTTTTTTTAATGCTTTAGGAAATACACATAAACAACAAAAGCATTGATTTTCAGTTGAACTCACTGAATTTACACTTTATGAAGTAGTTTTTAACAAGACAGATGGGACTGATTTTTTGAGGATTTTCTGTGTATTTGAAATCAATAAAATTCATTTTGATATAAAACGAAATTCAGTTGTGAGAGAGTGTGAGTGAGTTAATGAGTGAATATCTCTGTATATTGGGAACGGAGTTGTATATACCTAAATGACAATGTTAAAAATCCTTTTTATTTTATTTTAGGTGCTGGTGAATCTGGGAAAAGTACAATTGTAAAGCAAATGAAGTAAGTAAATTTAAAACATTAAATTTGTTTTATATTTTGAAATATATCCTTCCATTAAAGGAAGTTAAGTGTTCTTGTTTTTCATTTTCTCTCATTAGAATTATCCACGAAGCTGGTTATTCAGAAGAGGAATGCAAACAGTATAAAGCAGTGGTCTACAGTAACACTATCCAATCAATTATTGCTATCATTAGGGCCATGGGGAGGTTGAAGATAGACTTCGGTGACTCAGCTCGGGCTGTAAGTTATTAAATTCATTGGAACAGATGTGATGAGTAGGGGTGGGAAACTTGCATGATAATTCCATACGTCATAGATTCATCATCTCAGACCCATTTATAAAAGGAGTAAAAAAAAAAAAAAAAAAAAGTGAGTGGAATGACTCAGACAGAAGGTGTAGAAGTGAGTGAAATAAGAATATACAGGATTGTATAATTTTTCTTTTATAGCTGTACTACTTTCCTTATTCATCACATGATTTAGACAGCTCAATAAATCATTGTAGTATTTTTTATATAACATGTTATATTGGACACTCTTGCATCACCATAGCAATTTAGAATAGCAAGTGCTGAGTTTAGTAAACTGCCGGCACTGGCATGCCTCAAAATCTGTTTGCATAATTTGGAATGCTAAAATAATCCAATTATTTGTATTCATGCCCAAATTAAAAAGTAATCTAATCTTAAAGAACGGGGAAAAAAGTGTAGAAGTTTGCCTTTTTTTGGAATAGGAAACTATGAACTTTTAGAAAACATGTACTAGAACTATAGAGCTAAAGGGGACTTTTGGAAACCAAGTAATTCTACTCTTTTATTTTACCACTGAAGAAAATGGGAGCTTTGATGGCATGATGCCTAAATTTGACTGCTAACCAGAAGGGTGGTGATTGAAACCCACCAGTCTCTCCTCAGAAGGAAGATTGGACTATCTACTTCTGTAGAGATATACAGCCTCGGAAACCCAGGGAGGGGTCTCTCTGAGTTGGGATCGACTTGACGGCAGTGAGTGGTTAGTGTGAAAGAAAATGGATCCTGGGAGAGTACCATGATATACAGGTTGCCGTACGGTTAGTGGAAACCCAGGTACTATGTACATAGCCTTATTTGGCTCAATCACTTGGTTTCAGCCCTCTCTGCTCCGGTCCATAGTATACTTTCTTTTTCCCCTACCCTCCTCAGCCCTACTTTTTTTGTTGCTTAAGCTTTTTACTTCTAGCTTATTATTTTTATGTGGTCTATAATTTAGCTGTTTGCTTTCTCAATAATGGAATCCCTAGCTTACATATATATATTTCTTTTTTGGGTGAAGGCCACAAAGTAAGTGGATTACCACTCTTAATACTGCCCCACTTCTTCCTTTTTATAGTTTTTTTCTGTTACGTTTTTATGTATTCAATATATATATATATATCAATGGATATTGAATACTGAGTACATATTAACAATACTATGAAGATTTTATAGAGATTATAGCTTTTTCTTCCTGTCTTCTTGCTGATGTGCAGACACACACACACTGTGTGTGTGTGTGTGTGTGTGTGTATATATATATATATATATATATATATATAAATATAAAATAACTCATTGTCATCGAGTCAGATCCAACTCATAGCGACCCCTCCTTAGATTTCGAGGTGATACTGCTATGGAAATACATTGCCCAACTTTCCTTCCAAGGAGTGGCTGGTGGGTTTGAGCCTCCAGCCCTCTGGTTAGCAGTCAAATGCCTTAGGAACTATGCCACCAGAACTTATAGAACTTTTATATGTTCTATATATATGTACATATATATATATATGTATATATGTGTGTATATATACACACACACACACACACACATATATATGTGGGTGTATATATACATATATATTTAAGCATAGAGGCTCAATTAATTCTTATTAGGAAAAAACATGAATGAAAGCAACAGAAGGAAAAATCTGTAAAATATCCCTTATTTTTAAATTTCTTGATAAATTACTGGATTACATGAATTTATTAAAATAAGTCTTTTTCCTTTAAACAAAGATATTAAGCTTAGTGCAGTGAAATAAGGTATCAATATTATTTCAAATAATGATAATAATAAATTTTCCCTTCTGAAACAAGATTTTATCATATGCAGAATATGTTTTGCCTTAGCACAATTGTCTATTCAATCATTATTATCATTTATCACTCAATAAACTCTTTCTTAGTCTTACACAGAAGCAGGGAGCACCCTTAGATTAAGGAGAAAGAATTGACATAAATTGTACTGTATAGCAGTTTCAGTTGTGGTAATTTAAGCTTTTTATCATATTCAAATACATAATATTCTGCATTTAGATCTAATATATGGTTATTTAAAGGCTAAAATGTTTTACCCTCCATTTTAAGTGGTACTGAAGGGTCAGTGGAACAGATTTTTTTTTTTTTTTTTTTTTTACATAATGTGGTCTTAATTTCAGGGCTAACGGGGAATAACAGCTATCTCACCATCAGCTTTTTAATAATGATTGTATGGTGTACTATCTGGAGCCATTGAGGCTTGATCAACTCCTAAAACTATTGCCCTGAGATAATCTTTCAACTGTAAACTAAAACTATCTCTTCAAGTCTTCTTTCAGCCAACAAATAGTTTATCTTAATAAGTAAAGTAGGTCTGCCTTGAGCATTGTGTTTTTGTTTTGTGTTTTAATTTGTGATTTGGTGAAAATTTACAGAGAAAATTCATTTTTCATACAGCACACACATTTCTTTTCATGACATTGGCTGAAATCACCATAATATTACAGCTCTCTTCCTACTTCCTTCCTGTAGTTTTCTCTTCCTTGTGTCCTTCTTTCCTATGCATTCCTGCCCACTAAGATATCTCTTTTGCAAGTACTGTCCTTCTGGTCTTCCACGCTTGATTGTTCCAAGGAGTATACCTATTTGGTGTAAATGTTCACCTTATATGCCTGTCTGTTTTTTGGCTGGAAACCATGGAGTGAGTTCATTTCCAAGCCTGAAGGATGACTAGGGGCCATAGTCTCAGAGTTTCATCAAGCTCTGTCAGACCAAAAAGCCTCATCTTTTTTTTCTGATTTTGAGTTTTGTTCCATGTTTTTGTCCCACTGTCCTCTGTATCCAGGATCTTTTTGTACTGATCCCTTTCCAAGTGGTTGACAGTGGTAGTTGGGCACTATCTAGTTCTTAAGGTCACATGGTCATATAGGCTGAGGTTTACACAGTCAGTGGTTCCTTGGCCTAATTATTTCCTTGTGTCTTTGGTTTTCTTCATTCTTCTTTGCTCTAGATGAGGAGAGACCAGTTGATGGAAGCATTGTGTTTTTTTCAAGAACTATCTGTGTGAGATCACATTGACAACAACACCTCAAAAAGTTAGCCTGTGAGATCAAATTGACATCAGTACCTAGAAAAATTAGCTGAGAACCATAGGGGCTAATAAGTTTAAGTCAGTGGTGATGGAGAAGTTTGGGAGAAGGATGACAAAAATGTTTGCACAACTCACTAAAACCAAAGCAAACTCACTGTGATCGAGTCTATTCTGACTCATAGCAACCCCTATTAGGTTTCCAAGGCTATAAATCTTTACAGAATAGATTACCCCATCTTTCCATGGAGCGGCTGGTGGGTGTAAAGCACTGATCTTTTGGTTAGCAACCAAATACCGTATCCACTATGCCACCAGAGAATATAATCAATGTCACTGAGTTTATACATGTGGAAATAGTTGAAATAATGTATAACTGTGTAAATTTCCCCAAAAAACCACCACTGTGAAAAGACAAGACAAAAAAAAAAAAAATTTGCCTGACTTTTGTAATCTACATGTGAGTCTGTTTTTTTCATCTTTGACTTTATTAGTGTTACTTTGACCCATGATCCTTTAGTTGTTTCCTAGAAACTGTGGTTTTGCTACTGTCAGTCCCTTCTTATTGCTTTAGCCATCTTCAGTAACTCATCCTCCCAAAGGTCTTCATATTCTTACATTGCTTCTGATTGTTCTACACCATGCTTTGTGTTGCCTTACCTATGCATAATCATTAAAATGCTGCTAGGCTCTTGGACTTGTGCTAAAGAATACAAAGGTGAATTAAACTTGATTGTTCTTCTCATGGAGATTTCTTCTGCCTGGACATGGCATTGCAAGCCTTCACAGAGGAAGGGACATTTGAGCTTGGTGTTGAAAAGGAAAAAGAGTTTTCTAGATAGAAACAAGAACAAGCATTGCTACAAACAAGAAATGCTTATATTCAAAAGAAGTCTGAATGTATTTCTGTCAATTCCTAGAAGTATCAAACTTGAGTTGAGGTATAACCATATATTTTTGATATATTAGAAAGTAGATTGATTTGCTCTCCAAGGAAAAGCAATATGAAAATATTTTCTAGCAATAAGTGTCTACTTTCCCAGAGTTTCACTAACTTGAATATTATCACCATGTTAATTTTGATCAAACTTTATAATTTTTTTTTTATTTTATTGTATAAGTTTACAGAGCAATTTCATCTTCCATGCAGTAGTTCACACACGCTTTGTCTCATGGCATTGACTATAATCTCCCACAGTGCAACACTTCTCCTTCCACTTCCTCCCTATAGCCACTTCTTCGCTGTGTCCTTCCCTTCCATGCACTCTTGCCCCACCCCCCCAGCTGTCTCCCTGTACATACAGCCCTTCTATCCTCCCATGATTAATCTCTGCAAGGAGTGTATCTACCTAATGTAAATGTTCAGCTCATATGCTTGTCTTTTGTTTGGCTGGAAGCCATAGAAGTGGGTTCAGTTCCAGACCTGAAGGGCAGCTAGGAGCCATAGTCTCAGGGGTTCTACCAGGCTCTCTATCAGACCAGCAAACTGCTTTTTTTTTTTTTTTAAGTGATTTTGAGTTTTGTTCCACATTGTTCTTCCACTCTATCCAGGATCTCCTACATAGATCCCTATCTGAGTGGTTGACAGTGGTAGCTGGGTACCATCTAGTTCTACTGGTCTCACAGTCACATAGGCTGAGGATCGCATGGTATGCCAGTTCCTTGGACTAATTGTTTCCATGAATCTTTGGTTTTCTTCATTCTTCTTTGCTCTAGACAAGGAGCCATCATTGCATCTAGATGGCTGCTTGCAAGCTTTTAAGATTCCAGTCACTAATTGTCAAAGTAGGATGTGGAACAAAGTTTTTGTGTAGCATTGCTTGATATCCTCTGTGACCATAGTCCTGAGCCCACAGGTCCAACTTCTTGCTTCCTCTGGG